TGAAAATAAGTTACTATGAATTGATATATAAGGGTTATAAAAGTATTTTTAATGTATTTTGTTAGAAATATTCCATCATAATAATAATTACTATTTATAAATTATGGTTTGTTATTTCCTGTAAATGTTTTTTGTATTATTTTTGGAATAAATCAAATATTGCAACCGGGATATTTTGAACATGCCCTTTTTGAGTGTAAAATAAGCCTTATTTGGAATTAACTAAGAAATATATGTTAGTTAAAACATTAAATACAAATATAGCCCACTTTATTTTAAACAAACCATTTAGTATTTGCACAATATCACTAGGTTGCAACAAAATAAAAGTTAAATTTAGGATTTCGGGTTCTCACAAAACTTTTACAATTAAATAATATATTTTATATTTGAATTTCCGAAATAATGTCAAACATTTACTAGAAATATTTTAGTTACTAATTTATTATAATTAAAATCCACTAGTTTAAAGCATATTTTACTAATGATTACCTCTAACCTAACACCTGACTTTATAATTTGTTGTTTACTGACATTTTCACATTAAATAGTCTTAAATAATTTGAAAACTAAAATTAAAACACAATTGTTAATATCAGTACACTATTAATTTAAAAACATAATTTGTATAATATTATTTAATAATTAATTAAAATTGCGTTATAATTTAAAAAAATAATTAATCAATTATAATCTTGATATAAAAATCATATGTTTGAATTGAATCATTTTTATCAATTCATTTTGCTTAAGATTTTACAAAATGTATATCTCATAAATCAAAAGTCACTACAAATTGATGCAAAGTTTTAATGATTTCTCAATCATAAGACATACGTTTCCTAAAATATGAAAAATTTTAAAATGGGATCATTTTCGTGCCCAACTCGTGACAGATTCATAGATATGTCTCAAATATTTATATATAGTCAGCAATATTTACGAATTAATTGTCTGATCCAACAGTTGTTGAGATAATTTTTTTCTCACAAATATTTTATTTCTACTTATCGTTCAACCAAAGAATCATATAATAAATAAAATTTTTAATTAATATCTAATATAAAAATATATCATCTTAGTACGGTTTAAAAGTTATCAAATTGTAAATTTTAATAACTTTTTGCGAAATCTAATTAAAATACACTATATTTAATACAGTATAAAAAGGTAATTTCCCTTGACTTATTTTTAAATTTTTAAATTTTTGTTATTAGTTTATAATTAATATTTATATCTTTCTATTAATTAAAAATCAGCTAATTAGTTTTTCATGCATTAAAATTTATAAATAAATTTTATCATATTTTAAAATGATATTTTGAGTAATTTAAGCAATATTTATAAAATGAATATTTATTATCTCTAGACTTATGATAAATATAAATGTTTTTACAAACTAAACATTCAATTGTAATGATAATTTGGTTTATTATATCCGTTGTTATTATATGTGACATAATTATAGTTCATTTTAGTTGTTTTATTTAATTAATTTCCCATTTATTTGAATTAATCTTTTAACTTAATTTTCACAGATTAAAAAGACAAAGTTAACAATTGACAATATCTTAATAATTTGGTGTTCAACTCATAACATAATTAACCATAATAACCATATTATGAGGTAACTATTCTTACAATAATAATTATATGATACATTATTGATATTATATATTGATAATACCTTTGCTTTTTTGTTGTCAATGTATTTGTACACAAAATATTGCATAGATTCTCAGTTTATATTTAACATGAGTTATAAATGAGTGACTTTTAGACCCGGGACAAAATTCTTATTAGTAAACTTGATTTGAATCTTTTAGCATTGAATTTATAATCTAATCATTTTATTTTAAAATAGCGTCAATGAGTCTATTGAATAGATTCACATTAGGCTAATGTCAGTGTTTGACTTTAAACTATTGCCAAAAATAATTTTAGTTTTTTATAAATACCAATATTGTTTTTAATTTAATCATTATTTTATAAATAGATTTTAATAAGCGAATTATCCTACATTGTTTAATTACTATCTTAAATGTTATAAATTGTTATTAAAATTAGATGATTGTTAATATTAATAAGTTAATTTAGATATCTAAAAGCATAAGTCTCTTACAACTTCATAAATTAAATTTATCAGATTGTAAATAAAGGATTAATGCAAATTAGAAAGTTTTTGGAAAATAATTGAAAGTTTTTCTTAGAAATGATCATTTTTGGGAACTTTCTTAGAGAATCAGATAACATTTTATTTGTATTTTTGTCTAAAATTTTTGACGATTTAATTGTATAAACAGAGATACTTTTCAACAGACCTTTAATCCTATTTATAAATATAAAAATTAACTTATTAATATTAACAATCATCTAATTTTAATAACAATTTATAACATTTAAGATAGTAATTAAACAATGTAGGATAATTCGCTTATTAAAATCTATTTATAAAATAATGATTAAATTAAAAACAATATTGGTATTTATAAAAAACTAAAATTATTTTTGGCAATAGTTTAAAGTCAAACACTGACATTAGCCTAATGTGAATCTATTCAATAGACTCATTGACGCTATTTTAAAATAAAATGATTAGATTATAAATTCAATGCTAAAAGATTCAAATCAAGTTTACTAATAAGAATTTTGTCCCGGGTCTAAAAGTCACTCATTTATAACTCATGTTAAATATAAACTGAGAATCTATGCAATATTTTGTGTACAAATACATTGACAACAAAAAAGCAAAGGTATTATCAATATATAATATCAATAATGTATCATATAATTATTATTGTAAGAATAGTTACCTCATTATATTATTCTTGTTGTTACCTTGTTGTTATGAATTATGTTATGAGTTGAACACCAAATTATTAAGATATTGTCAATT